AACTCCTCCTCAGGTTGGGCTCCAGAAGTCAATGCCTCAAGAAACATGTCTGGGGCCTGGGCTGAGCCTGGGACTGAGGCCTTTTCACCCACAGGACATGGCCTGCCTGCCTCCCTCCTTTCCCTCAGGGCGGAAAACAGAGGAAGGGGGAAGTCTTCACATTACTTGCAGCTGGGAGGGAAACCTAAGGATGGATTCCTTGGACGAGAGGAAATGGTCGGGAAAAGAGGTATTGCAAAGGCGGAACTGACCTATTTGTTGTCAAGGGCTATGCACACGACTGTATCTGTGTGTCTTTTTGTGCAATCGCCTGTCTCTGCAATTCCCAAGGCTTCAGCCCTACGTCTGGCTGCAGTTGCAACAGCTCACTCTGGTCAAGCCGCTCGGGCACCAAGGTTGGGGGGAGGGAACAGCCCTTACAGCGCGGTGCCTGCTGGGGACTAGAGTCTTCTAGCCTGGGAAGGCCGCCCAAGATCCTGTCACGTCAACAGCTACCCCGAGCGCTCCAAGACCCATCTACCCTGCGCGGGAGTCGGCCCGCGCTCACCTCTGCCTCCTTTGATTGGTCAGCTCGTCTGCCAATATTTTCGCTTTTGTCAACGTTTGCCGTGCGGAAGCACAACCGGATCCGCCTTCCAAGCTCAATTAAAGAGTTCATTGATGGCGTTAATCTTTACTAGGCGGAAAGTAGGTCCGGCTGGGAGGGGAGGGGCTGTGGCCGCGGAGGGATCCGAGGCCTTAGAGGAAGGCGACGAGAAGGAGCGGTGGCCGCCGCCGCCATTTTGGGCTGGGAGGAGGCAGCGGAGGGACTCGCTGCACAGTGAGAGCACCCCCTGGGGGGTGGTCCGGGCATGGGGAGAGGCCGGGCCGAGTGGGCTGCCTGAAGTGGCGACGCCGGGAGACGGCGGGAAGTGGGATCGGGGGTCTGCGGGGTGAAGGCTGGAATCTTCCCGGCCGGGCCTAGTCCTCAAACCGTCCCGGCAGCCTCGCAGCCTCGCCTCTTACAGAGGGCGGGGTTCTTGGGTAATTACCGCGTGTTTCCCGAGACCCCAAATTGGGGAGAGATCGGGTGAAACGACTATCTTCTGCTGTCCTTCCATGCGGCCGAGCTCTGCCACGTTCTTTCCCCAGCCCCATTCGGCCTGGGTATGGCGGCGAGGCCCAGAGTAGCGCGACCCCCGCCCCCCACTTCGACGGGCGAGGTGGCGAAGACGCCAGATTCCAAAGACTGGCGCCGCAGGGGAGGTTGGAGGTCGCAGCCCTGGTTGCGCGTCCCTCTGGCGTAGCAGTCAGCTGGAGGCTCCAAAGTCAGAGATCCCGGTGCACCCACCGTTCCCCACCCCCATACACCAAGGCCATCCGCGGCCCGGGCTCCGAAACAGCCTTCTTCCTAGTGTTACAACCCAACCCTTGATTCCCCCCTGACCCGCTAGGCAGGGGCATGTAGAAACCTTCACAAGCCCAATGCTTGGAAATCTGAACGCTCTCCTCAAGGTTTATCCTAACCAGCGCCCTTTCTCCGAACGACCTGACCTCGCACGTCGCCAGCCACTTTGGGAAACTCCAAATGTGTGTTTTTCCACTTCTCTTGAAAGTTTACACCAAAGGGGTATGGGGTTTTGCCCTTTACAGGGTTAGGACACAAAATAATTTAGAGTCGTCAGGGCTATGGGAATAAAAGGGGAGTGGCCCATTTCGGATGCTTCGGGAACATCTGTTTGCATTTTGAAATCTGAGCCATAACTTCTACCAAAACTTTTGGAGAAATGTCTGCCCTCCTAGAGGGAAAAAACGAACGAATTCCAGTGTAATCTTTATAAGACTACAAATTCATTCCAGCTTAAAGAACTTTTATCCCACAAACTAAATTGGGGAGTATTTTGCCACTGGTACATTGTTACTAGGGAACCTCTCTTTTGAAATTCCAAGTAATTGAAAATCTCTTCTATAGATTCTAGATGCTACCAAAATAGAAATTGCAGTTTCGAGTTACTTCACCTATATGGAATTTTAGAGGTAGGGGAGACCTGTTCTGAAAAAAAATAAATTCTCAGCCTTGCGTTACAGCTATAGTAGCTTCTTAAAGATTGAAGTTTGATGTGAAGTTCTTTTTTTGAATTGCAGATTAAACCGTCTTGTTTCCCACTGCCAGGAATCTAAATGCAGGGAGATTTATAGCTCAGGGATATCTTAATAATTCTTTTGCTAAATGTCAGTTAAAATTATGCCTAGGTAGATTCTGAAGTAGTGGAGTGACTGGGCAGTAAACTTTCTCTTTGAGGGTTCCTTGTGATAAATCTCATTGCCAATTACAGATGGTCAAATCATTTCTAAGCCTTTGGCCTTAATAGCAAGAACCTTGAAAAGTTATTCAGAACTGAATCCCTGCTCCTCCTATATATAAAGTAAATGTTAAAAAGTTGTGAGAGTGTCAGTTCCACAGCTTTATTCTCCCCTACCCCCCAGGTATTCTCAGAGAAAGTCTTAGAACTGGATTGCAAAGATATGATCACCATTGATTCCAGTTCTTAATTGAAAATTTTAGCCACTTAATCCTAAATGAAGCTTCAGTATATTCAATTCATACTGTAGGTCGACTTTTGGCTTATGTCATGTTCATTTCACACTGTTCTTCAGATCAAGAGAAGATTTGAGTTAGGAAAAGCTGACACTTGGTAGGAGTTAAGTTAAGTAGTCATAGGAGCTGAAAGGAGCTCTGAAGATTATTTTTGTGGTTCTTCTGTCAAGAATTTAATGGAGGAGCATCCCAGACTCTTGTGATTCATCCTCCATTTTGAAGTAATCTAGTCAAACCTTTGGATGTTACTAAGTAGAGAATACCAGGTGCAGAAATTTGTTACTAATTTATAAAAATGAAAGCTTATCCTCTTTAAGGTTGACCTCTAAGCTTTTCCATTCCTCGATAAGAAAAGTTGGAAATAGAACCAGTTTGGTTATCTACTGAACAAACACAGGACTGGAAATAAGGAACTCCAAGTTCTATTTCTGTGCGTACTACCATGACTTGGTTGGCTTGACAAGAAGCCAAATCCTAAAGATTAGGCCAAACTATTTTGTTGCTGAGCCTATTGTTCATCTGATGTTGAACCAAAACTTCGACTTCCTTCTCAGCTTTCTCCTTTCAGATGAGTTGCTTTGTAGTTTATGACAAATTCTACAGTAGACTATCTTGTATATGCTTCCATAGTTTCCTTTTTTTAATTTATTTTTTATTGAGTTTATTAGGTATGTCTCAGTTTCCTAATTTGAAAATGGAATCAATGCTACCTTTCTCATAAATACTTTGAGTAACTATTCTTCCGAAGCCATCTAAACATTTATTGGCTATAACTTCGTTATTTGGGAACATTAGAACTATGCTTCCAAGGTTATTTGTAGTAGTTGGAAGGCCTGCCTTAACTGAAATGCGCCCATGGCAGTACAGAGGGTGCCCATCCAAATAGGCTGAACGAGGGTCAGTTTCTCAGGGTACCAAGCAGTTACCACGAAGTAATGGACATTTTACATTTGCCTGATGCCAACTCTTGGGAACTGGTGGCTATGTGTGAGCAGGATTCATTGATTCTTTGCAGCAGTCCTCTTCAGGCTGAAGATGCTTGCTATTTGATTTCCACAGTTAATCGATTTTTTATTCTTTGTGTTTAGATCTCACCATCCTCTTTTGTCTTTCTAAGCTGTTCAAATGTTTGCTGTTTTGTTAAGTACACTTTTAGTGATAACTAGAGCAGAAGGTAGAACTAACTGCTTAGACATTCCCTTTCAACCTCCAGTTTGGCCTTCTGCCTTTGCCTGAAAGTTGTACTGGAGTTATCCAGATACACAGAATTACATGTTAAGAGCAGTCTTCAGAACTTCAAATTAACCTCCCATGTCTCTATGGAGGTTAGGACCAAGTTCTGCTGAGTAGTTTACAAGAGCAGGAATGCTACCATTTTCTCAAATTCTTTTGCACGAAGCACTCTAAAGCTCCCACGTTTTCCTTCAGGAATATTCTTTTTGCTCACCACAGACCCAGGGCTTTTTAACACTTCACACAAAGCCAGTGAGTGTGTTAAATAGAATATGACTTCAGACGAGTTTTTACAATTCCTTTCTGAATGTTTGCTCTTCTTAAAAAAAAAAAATGTATAAGCCAATGTAGCTGCTCTTGGTGCTATATTAAAAGATCACACTATTTCAAAAGACCGACAGTTTCCTGTAGCATCTCAGCCATTTGAAAGAATTTTGATAATTGAACTGCCTCGAAAAGAAAGTTTATTCAGGAGGATTTGTAAGAGCTATAGCATTGATCTGTCTAGACCCAGCCTTTGTTTTTTTCAACAAGAGATGGAATGAGATGATAAGCTTTCCAATATCCAAAGACAACTGGCAAAAATTGGCCAAAGTTTGACCGTTTGCCTCCTAGACCACAGATTTTGTCCCATTTGCAAAGTGTGACTATTAACGCATTTGTCAGCAGGCGGCTGTGTTCAGGGCCTGAATTTGACATTTTTTTCCCCCTTAAACATGTTTTTATTGATTTCAGGGAGAGGGGGAGAGAGAGAGAAACATCGGTGATGAGAAAGTATCATCGATCAGCCCAGTTGGCATGGCTCAGAGGTTGAGCATTGACCTATGATCCAGGAGATCAGTTTGATTTGCGGTCAGGGCACATGCCCAGGTTTCGGGCTTGATCCTGGGTAGGGGGTGTGCAGGCAGCTGGTCAATGACTCTCATCGTTAATGTTTCTCTCCCTTCCTGTCTCTGAAATCAATAAAGATAAATTTAAAAAAATA